AATTAATCAAAACATGGATGTACAATATCAGGTTGCAGGCTACCAAACTAGCTAGAAAGTGTGAGATCAAACATTGTTATGCCTGTGGTGCGGACGGACGGAAGGTCGGGTGGTCGGTGTACGGTCACGTAATTGCCGAATTTTCTAGGATGGATAGATTTTCTATAAAGCTATGGGGCTTCGAATTGAGCCCGTGATCAAATAAAATATCAGCGCAAAACTTTAAACACTACGTGACCTTAATAGATAGAAAAATGAGCCCGCGATCCACTCAGGTGATGATGGTCAGCGTATACTCTAGTTTGACAGCTGTCAATTAACCTTCATTAGAATGGCAATTATTCGAATTAACACACTACAAGTGTGAGTAGGACATTTCCGTCCGGCATGTAGTGGAAATTGCCAGATCGTGTACCTGAGCGAGCCTGAGCCCTCGTTATTAGTTTTCTGATAGTGGTCTGCAAATGTTCCATTTTGACAGCTGTCAATTGACCTTAATTTGGCTTGCCAATGTAACTTTAAACGACTGTCTGCCAACTGACAGCCTTACCCGGCGTAGTTTCGTTTTTATGTTGAGTTGATAAGTGTGACGTATTATATCAGCTTATATATAGGGGCAAAACGACTGGTCTTTTATCTGAGCCCGCGAGACGGTCATGTAATAATTTTAATTCGTACTCATACGTATGGCTTACATAACTAAGAGGCTAGTCAAGTTGTGCAAGATCTATTGTGACATTTGACATCGGCTTACATGAAGTGTGTGTACGGACGGGCGGGCGTACGCTACGTCATAACCAAATTTTCTGGGATGGATAGTTTACCAAATTTTCTTACCCACGGTGCTCCGCTGCGTGCGCGCTTCGCGCGCGCGGGAGCTCTGCTATTAAATAATTACAATAACGCCTCCGGCGCCTCTACCAACCAAGCAGTAGAGGATGGGGATAGAAAAGTTAGATGCTGGAATTGCCAAAGTGATTGTTTCTTTATTAATTCAGGTTATAACATTTGTGACTCCTGTGGAACAACTAATGGTCATGTTTTGGGGTATTATGGTCAGAAAGATTATGACCGATTACATTTTCGAAAGAAGAGTATTTATCAGAGAAAGTATCATTATGAGAAAAAGATTGATCAAGTTTCTAAAAGACTAAACCTGACTGAGGATCAAAAGTATTGTTTATACAATAAACTAATGGCGATAGACAACCACGTCATGGAAATACTAAACAAACAATTTTGTCGAAAGAGAATGACAAGTATTTTTTATCTAATCAAAAAATTCTCAGAAGAAAAGGGAAATGAAAAGTACAAACTACTTTATCTAAAGATTTCTGGACAAACTCTGGCGAATTATGAAAAGAAGTGGAATAGTTATAAATCTCTTAACAATGCGGCGTAGCTAAGGGAGGGGGGAACCGTAGGTTCCCCCTACACGACTCCTCTGTTAAATCGCCAGTAAACAATTCCAGTTAGATAACCAAGTACTTCAAATTCTTTAAACGATGTGTTGGCGACATAAACACATCCTCGCCCAATGCAATACTGTTTCCAGAGAGCGCGAAAAGCAAGACTAAATATTAAATGATTAGCGAGAATAGATGAGTTTGATCTGCAACTATGTCTCGCGTCTGATAGTCTATAAATAATTTGGTTTATGTCTAGTTTTTGTGTGAAATACTTCGCATAGAGAAACTGATAAACAAAAAAACCCCTAATAAAGTTGTCGCAGTAAAACTGTGTTTTGTAGGTGGGAAAGTAAAAATTCACATATGCTACAATTATTTTGATCATTTCTATCTTATAAATAGATAGAAATGAGGAAACCTCAAATGAGCTCAGCTCAAATAGGAATAAGGAAACTTTATACATAAATTTTTTATTATATTTCTCAGCAAATCTATCTGCTATAGGAGTCTGATCAATTATCATTTCATCTATTAGTTTCATGCGATCAATAAACTCTTGTTTGTTAAGGGAGTCTCCCCGCAGAGCTGAACCCAGTTCAACGAGCACTTTTTCATACGTCGTAAATGCGATTCGACTCATCTCAATTTTTCTCTTGTAATTCTTTTTCTTTCCAATACCCGCCACGACAACCCCAGCACCATTTACAACTACGAGAACAACTGGGTTTAGGGGTTATTCCACCAGCGATCGTCCCTACAGCCACTAAGCATATTCCAGAGATCGTAAATGTTTCATCAATAAGTTTATATCTCAAATACGACCGTTTGAAACACCAGTATTTCTTGTGATAGTGGCTATAAAAGTCTTTTAGGGTTTTAATATCAGATTCTGACAGAGAGTTATCTATGTGATTAAATTCAAATATGTCTTTCATTTTAATAAATTATTATATCAATGCGGCGTAGCCAAGGGAGAGGGGTCGTAGGGGGGAACCGTAGGTTCCCCCTACACTATATAAAATCCATTTAACTTTTCTTGAAGCATTACTTTGTGATATTGCTCAGAGTCAAAGTCGTAAAAGTTTGGAGAAAACATTAATCTTTTTAACTCTCCATCTTCAGTTGTAAACTTCCAAAGTTTACTAGTGGAGTATTGAACGGCTGGTATAGTTAATGTTGAGCTGTAGTTACTTATTGAAGCTTTTGTAACATTTGCATCAAAATTTTCTGCCAGCCATAAAACAATCTTTTTTCCATTAAAACTACTTGGCAAGGTAAAATTTTGAGTTGTTTTATTGACAATTGAATTTACTGAATTGTTTGTTTTATCATAATTTAATTTTAATAAAATATTATTGTTTGTTGATATATATTTAGTTAGGCTAAAATTCCTATTTCTCCAATGATAAAAAACAATACATAAACTAGATTTCGAAGAATGTGAAGGAGAAAAAGTAAGATTATAACCATTAACATTTAAGCCATCTTTTTTTTATAAAACTTAGGTCTTTATTGGGTAGTGTAATATTAGGATTTAAAGAATTGAGATGAGATGAGCCACTGCTTAATACGTAACTATCCGCATCAGCAAAGTCATAAAATTCTACAAAATGTTTTTTGTACAAAGCATATTTGGTAAAAGGAATTACCTCTTTTACAAATCCAACTATTGCCGCGTTATTATCAAACATTCGATCAAGTTTGATATTTCTAATTTCTTTATGATTTGTATTGATGCCAACATTGTATACCACTTCTGTTGGGAGGATGTCAAATGCTGTGTGGTAGTCGTAGGTTTTATCTGGATCGATATTGCTGGCTGTTCCAATGATTCCATAAGCAATCATGTAAACTCCTGAAAAGTTTTTTGGATACGCCGCCAGGTCAGTTCCATCCTGAGGAATATTAACAAGTATATGAAGAAAATAAGGGCTCAACGTTGTCTTGCGAAAATTAACTATTATCCGGTGGTAGTACATAAACTGTGGCTGATTTTTTGGATCAAGATACCTGTGGGAGTATTTTCTTACACTAACATTTCCAATAGTTAATCCTTGTGAGGTGCCTCTGTCAACAGATGTTTGAGACTTATGCCACAGCTGATAATCAGTGTTGAGAATTTCTAAACAAAAGGTATAATCAGCATTTGCAGTTAGTCTGTAAAAATTAATTCCCATCTTATACTTATAACCACCCTGGGAATTTTTAATTATAGTCGTATAAAGAACTTTGTGGTTATAGTCATAAAAGTTTCCTTTGTTTGGTGGTAAATCACCTATCTTTATTATATTAAAACTATTTCCTCCATCGATTTCATCCGTCCATTGATTCGAGCTTGACATGAGAAAACCAAACTGATCTTTATAATGACTTGGTTGAATTGAACTGTGGTGAACGAGGTTATCAATATACTCTTTGGTTGTCGCGTCGCTATCTGAAGTGGTAGTTTTAAGATTCGTTATTTTATGACCGCCAACATTAAAATCTCCAGTCATTGGGACACTTCCATCTTTTTTTAGATAAGGACTGAGATCTGGGGCAGTTGTGTTGTCATCCACATACTTTTTGGTTGCGGCGTCTGAGGGGTCTATTGGTGACCTTAAATGAATTATACTTTTATTGTCCATGTTTAGATTATTAGTCATTTTATTTGTTCCAGCAACGTGGAGATATTTTAAATCAGTAAATTTCAATGGTGTTGGTTGTTTGGGACCCGTTGGAGCTGGCAGATTTAGTATTTGTTTGTCGTCCATGTCCAGATTTCCAGTCATTGGGGTAGTCCCATCTTTCTTGAGATAATCAGCAAGTTCTGCTTTTGTTGCATGAATCATTGCTGCAGCGCATATTGTATTTGTTGCTGTTCTATCAACATAGAATTTATTTGATGCTTGGTCGTTTAAAGTTGGAGTCATTGTAAATGAAGTTGTCTCCCATATCCAAATATGTTTTCATTGCCTCTGCTTCGTTTAAAGTTTTCTTTTACTTCTTCGTAACTAACTAATGATTCAGTATCTGCTGAGTTGATTAAATGTTCTCTTTTTGCTGTTCTGAATATTGTAAGACTTTTTCAAATCAATATCAGCTGTTATATCACCAAACCCAGAGCTGTCCAATTGTTTGCGCGTAACAGCGTCACTTGGACTCACCCCATCACCAACATTTGTAAGTTTCTTACCAACCATATCATAATTTCCATCTGAGGTGAGATTAAATCCAACTCCTTGAGCACCTTGAATTCCTCGGGCAAATGGATTATTATAAGAATGTTCGTTAAATATTCCCATTTTAATCATTGCATATATAATCAGTGAAGTTTTTTGCAATGAATTTTTTTGGTTTATCCACATACAGAAATGTGAATGGTTTTCTGTGTCTGAAGGCATAAAGGGAAATAATTGTTTGAAATTTTTATCTGAGTCATCAGTGTCATAGTTAGGTATTTCCATTTTATGTACATATTAGATAAAATGGATATTAACGAAATCAAAACTTGGGCTAAAAATAAGATTGAATCTGATGATCTTGTCAAACAGGTGAGACGCCGAATAAATAACAATTATTCACCGAGGTGGAGGTGGCTAGTCTTGGATATTTACCGAACTGCGAAGCAGTGAGGTAAATATCCACGACTAGCCACCGACACTGAGGTGAATAACTGTTTCAGTATATACTAAAACAGTGAGATAATTGAGCAAAAAAATGATGATTTTTAACTCAAATACTGTTGCCAACGATTACAATTTTGGCGCGTAATGACCGGGCGAGCGCGGCTGTCGCTTTTTCTTGCCGACAATTAAAACTTTTGAAGGCATTTGTTTAGCTCTTGCGGGGAAATTTCTTCAAAAGGAGTTGTGAATTCTTTTTTATTTAAAATCATTCTATAAAAAAAAATTATTAAATTTNCATTTGTAAACAAAAAACTTTTTCACCGGTTTTATCGATAAATTCGTGTCAAAAAGACAAAGCTTTACCTGTTAAAACTTCCAATCCGAACTTCGTCACCTTCTTCGTGTATTTCGGAAACAGCTTGCTTGATTAGTTGTGAAATTTCTTTGTTTGTTTACGGCAGCAAACCGGGAAGGCATTTTGCTTGCAACTTACGCGAGTTTTGCGTTGCTCGCTCGGAGGAAGTGGAATCAGTGAATAGTGCAGGATATTCACCGATTGAGTAGCCAATCAGAGCGCGCGAAAAACACTATCCACTGTTTTATTTTATACTAAAAGAAACTACCTGGGAGCGCCAGAATCAGAGAGATGGTTTTCGTGAGTCATTTAAACCTCTGATTTCCCAGTTTGAAAATCCTGGGGATACCGCAACGCGTAATATTTTTACTCAAAACCAAGAAATGCTTCGCAATCAGTTAGCTCTTACAGAAAGAGTTAGAGCCAATCAGCGGGTATTACTCAAGGTTTTAATCAATTACAGCGATTAGCTGATATAAGAGAATTACCGCCAATAGAAGGTGATAATCAAGAACCATCAACATCACAATCAGAAAAAACTCCGGCAATATATGACTAGAAAAAATATTTAACAAACGGGATAGAGAAGTTTTAAATAATCTTGGTTATCCAAGACCAAATAATTTTATTGATACTAGCACTACAAGACTAAAAGAAATTTATAATGAAGTAACTAATGATAAACACGTTATGGGTAATAGAATTGGTGCTTTGAAGAGAACAAAATATAAAACAGAAGATGAAAAATTAGAACTTGATCTCAATACAATGCAACATGGCGTATTAAGTAAATATAAAAACGTTCTTCAACTTTATTTAACTTCACCTGATCTACAAGTAGGAGAAGGCATTAAGAATCCTAACCAACTAATTGACAGACTTAAACTGCTTGGGGGGAGTATTATGGCCGGAAACAACGGAGTTGTGCCGAAGTTTACTCAGATAGCAAACTATCTAAACTCGATAAAAGTTTTACAAACAAAAGAACTAAACAAAATGATGAAAACAATGAAAATCTATCTCGGTATAACATAAAATGGACGTTTCCCAAGCTAAAAAACTTTCACAAGATAAAATTGAGGCAGATTTTCTCACGCGGATAGTCAGACGAAACATAAAGCGTAAAGAGAGAGAGCGCCAGCAAGCGCGTGAAGCCTTTAGAGAAGCATTTGAAGTACTTTTGGATTCGCAAGGTAAAACCACTAAAACACAAAATTTTAATGTTAGACGAACTACGAAAAATAAATAAGCGAAAAGGAGAAGCGGGAGTCGCAGCGGCACAAGATGTTATACCTCCTACTCGTTCTCGCTCTCCCGGCCGAAGAACCGAGTGAACCGAGTGACTCAAGTGAAGAAGAAATCAAAGATGAGGATTATCCTAGACCTCATATGCGCTTACCAGGCCTGTTATATCAAGGTGCTGAGTGGGTTGGTGATAAGGCAAAACGGGGGGTCGCCAGTGCTGCTGATCTAACAAGACAAGGGGTCGTCAGTGCTGCTGATCTAACAAGACAAGGGGTCGTCAGTGCTACTGATTTGTCTAGCCGTGGTTTAAGGGGATTGTATAATTTATTACCCTCTAGAAGGCGTGCCGCTGCTGTACCCCAAGAGAAGTCAGAAGAATTACAGAGGTTATCTCAAGAAAGAGAATTAATAAAACAAAGGAGAGAAATTTTAGGTCAAAAAACCCTATTATTTCAGGAAGAAAAAGAACTCAAAGAACTAGAACAGCAGAGAGAAGAACAAGAGCGAACCCAGGAACAACAAATAAAAGCACAACGAATACTAAAGCAATTAAAAGAAGTAATGCCAGTTACTCCAGAAATGGAGGAAGAAATGACGAAAAAATCACCAAGAGAATTAGACAAAATACAAGAAAATATAAATAAGTTAAAACAACTATCATCGCAAGAAACTCAAACAACACAGTTATCTCAACAGACGGCAGCAACACAAACTCTATCGGTGCCACGTCCATCACAACAGACAGCAGCAACACAAACTCCATCGTATGAACAATTAGAAAAACTAAAATTATTAACAATGCAGTTATCAAAAGAAAAAGAAAAAACAAATGCCTTAGAAAAACAATTAGAGAAAACTAAAAAAGAAAAATCTGAAGAACTTTCACTTATTAGACAGAGGAAAAAAGAAATAGAAGCTCAAAAAGAACTTTCAAAACAAATTCAATTAATGAAGTCTGCTTCTCCCGAGTCAGATGTTAGCGACCTTACTTCTACTGCGGGGAGTTTTGCCTCGGCAGCAGCCAAAGCTTTAGGAACTTTAGCTTCATCTGATGTGTCTACTTTAGTAGTCGATCCTTTAAAAAAAGCTGCTGATGCTATTAAGAGTTCATTTACTCCTGTTAAATCTTCTGATGTTTTTCCAAGTTCTCAATCTGTTTCAACATCAGATGTGTTTCCTCAAGCAGGATTTCAATTTGCACCGACAGAAGGATTAGTAACTCCAAATCAAACAGGGCAATGGCCGTCTTGTCATCATTCCTATTATATGTCTGGTTCACCTTACCCGCAACTAGGAGAATATTCTTCAGATTTAAAATCACAATCAACCGCCATAGATTCTGTTAACGTAGTTTTTTGGACTATGCTAGGAATTCATAGTTAAGGAATTTGCGGTAGCCTCGTACACGCCCAACAGGAAACTCGAATAGTAGATAAACCTCAACTTTAATTAAGTAGTTTAGTCTTACCCGAGATCTGAATTGGACATGTTTCATGTGATTTACTGCTTATCTGTTACACTCTTCCATGGTTATCCCGATCAAGGAAAGTTAAGAAAACTCGCCATAGAAGTAAGTTTATGATCAATGTTATAATATTGTCAATCATTTTAGTTTTGTTAGTTTTATATGGATTTCATGAGTTTTTGGATACTGACGATCAGTGACCGCATGGCATAATGATTGTTAAGAGTTTATCTCAGTTATTCCCGCTTCGCTCGTTTTAATTGTTTCGTTTATTACCAATTGATTTAGTTAATTAGAATACATTGTACATTTTAATTTCAGATCGAATAAATATATTATCAGTTATACGATTGCGAGTATTCTTCGGTAGTGGTTCGTCTTAGTTCCCTTACGAAACAGATTCTACGTTACAATCGATCCAACAAGCAGCACAGCAATCTTGGGCACAGAGACCAGTTTCAGCTCAATCAGACACCTCATCTCGTTTGTCGTCACGTTTAACATCAGAATCTACACTCCCCCCACCCGATCCAAGCTCCCAGTCCTACAATCCTATACATGGAATTTATGTTTCTCCCTATGTGCAACCTCCTGTTCAGTCCCCACCGCAGGATTATGATTTTCAACAAGCACAAAACGTATTTTTACCACCATTAGAAGATTTAAGTCAGTATGATACCCGTTATTTAACACAATTGTCCCCTCAATTAGACAGCCAAATAAAATCTATAACATCAAAAATTAATGGAATGAAAAGAACAGGAAATCCAACTCCAGAATACCAAAATGAAATAAAAAGGTTTAGTAAATATAAACAAGATCTTAAAAACTATAAAGGACTCCGTTGTAAATGGAGTAAGTACAAACACAATTGCCGTTATACCAACTGATAATCTTACGAGGAGTTATCCATTCACTTTCGAACCAAGAAGGCAACTGTACTGCCCTGTGGGTTCTAATTATATTTCTGAAATGAGAATATATGTAACTGATTCACTCGGAAAACCTATTGATTTAAACGGTATTGATTGGTTTATGACGCTGTTGCTTCGTCATACTGAAGAAAATTCATTAGTATAATTCTACAGATAAAATGATGCGAAACTCAGAGTTTAAAACAAAATACGACCCAGAAATAGGAAAATACACTAAACAACACATCTATGGAGAAGGAATAATGGATTCAGTAAAATCCTTTTTAAAAAAACCAACTCCTAAAAAATCTCCACCTATACCGCCTCAGCCTCCCAAAAAAGTGACATTTGCCAACAAAAAAGCGGGTAATAAAATAGTAAAAATACTTTCTCGTGAAAATTCCCCTTCCACCAAAAAAACAACATCACACAAAAAAATGTCTGAAAAGGAATATAACCAATATTTGGAAAACTTAAGAAAATTATATAATTATTAATATAAAAGTTTACTTGGCAAAATGAAATCGTTTAGAAACCCAAAATATCTTGAGAGATATGAAGATGTTATATTTGATCTTGAACAACCTCTAGTTACAGCAGACCCAGCGAATAACGCCGCCCAAGTGAGAGCGCCAAACCTTAAGTTTATCGCTGATAATACGGGAGAGGCTACTCCATTTGATTGGTATAACGCGCGTTTTTCAAAGGATTTTGAAGTCCAACTACTAGCCAACGGCGCTGATATTGCAGTTGATGACCACAGTGGAATTGTAAATGGTTCTAACTCATTTATAAAAAAATTAACTATCCTGGCAAATGGAAAAGAAGTTTATAGTTGTAATGAGGCAAATCATGTTGCAAATATTAAAAACTTACTTGAGTACAATTCCTCTTACGCAAAGAGTATTGGAACCAAAGAATTTTACTATCCTGACACATCACGCGCTGCAGAGGAACGTTCTGCTCAAGCAACCTACAATGTAGGTTTTCATTTAAGAAAAAAAAGTACTATGTACTTTCGATTTAGTTAACTGTGTAATTCCTCTTAATAGGTACTCTTTCTTTGAAGCATTAGAAGATAAACTACTTCCCAACACAAAAATTGAACTAAATTTTGAAATCGAAAGTGACGCAAATCTGGTGTTCCAGGCTGGTGCTAATTGCAGAGTTATTGTTAAAAGACTTCAGTTATATATTCCAAAGTTAACTTTTAACGCAGAAGGCCAAAAGTTATACATGGAAAATTATCTTAAACCTTACAAATAGACTTATCTTAACGAAGTCGTTCATATATCAAATAACTTACAGCAACAAACAGGTCATTACAGAATTACAACAGCTATTTCAAAACCGCGCCATGTATTTGTTTGGGCTATCACCACAGCAAGAATTTACGCACAAACAGCAAATCCATTTATATATGATACTTTTGTTAAATTACCAGCCAATGCTAACGTATCGCGATGTTATCTCGAAGTTGAAAATGGTAATGAATATCCTGATTTTCACTATAAACTATCTACAGATTTAACAAGAGTTTTTAGAGGCTTGCTGGAGTATGTTCACGCAAACAACGACTTTCAAGGTGGAACAATTCTTGATATGGACAGTAACAAAAAAGTTTATCCAATTATTTACTTTGATTTAACAAAACAAAAAATGGACATCAAAGATGGAGTAACAAAGCTAGCGTTTCATTTCGAACTATCAGCCAATCCAAACGCTGATTATAACTTGTATGCTCTTGTTCTTCACGAGCGAGAGTCAGAATTAAAACAAGAAGATGGAAAACTACTTCTTAGAGCTTAGAGCTTCGCTTTGTATAACCATTACATAAAATGAAATCCTTTAGAGATCATGTTGAAGGTTATGAAGATTTAGTTTTTACTCTCGAACAACCTTTAATAATCCCTACTAATAATAATTATCAAAACAGAGGTAATTGTAGATTGTTGTTGATGAGACTTCACTTGATTGGTACAATGCGAGGCTGTCAATGGATTTTAAATTAACAAAACTAACTGGAAATAATGTAATCATCAATGACAAAAATGGAATTGTTAATGATGCAAGTTCATTTGTAAAAAAAATTAGTTTTAGTATTAATGGCCGAGAAATCTACCAGTGTAATTCTGACATCATGTAAATATTAAAAATCTACTTAAGTATAATCCTCTATGCTGATAGTGTTGGAACAAATGAACTTTACTATCTTGATACAACAAATTCCCCAAACAGAAATAACTATTTAACAAGGCAAGTCCAACACGGAAGAAATATTACAAACACTGGTTGGACACCAAGAATTTTTATTGAAAATGAAGACCCCACTTTCAATGAGGGGTTTGCTGCAAGAAAGAAACAACTAGGAAATTCGAGTATTGTTAATTGTGAAATTCCTCTTAATTGATATTCATTTTTTGATACTTTTAAAGATAAAATGTTGCCAGATTCCAGATTTGAATTAAATATCGAATTTGAAAGTGATAACAACCTTATATGGAGAGAGGGTAATGACGTTTGTAGAGTAAAAATTACAAAACTACAACTATACATTCCTAGTGTAAAATTTGATGAGAGGTGTAAAATAACAACGGCAATAAAACCAAAATCTTGGACTTATCTTAATGAGTACGTGACAAATTTTACAGATTTAAGACAAAGAGAAGGAAATTTTAGAATAACAAATGAGGTGTCAAAACCACGACATGTTTTTATTTTCATTGTAAACAGTGCAAATATAAACTCACAAACAGCAAACCCATTTTTATACCAAACTTTTAATGTCGCAAATAACTGAAAATTAACAAGATATTACCTTAAAGCAAGTGAAATGTTTACCCCAATTCATTACAAGCCATCTAGAGTTTACAGAGATGTTATGGGATATGATTTTCAAGGTGGAACACTTCTTAATAGAAATAACTTTGAAAGTTTGTTCCCATTTATTTATTTTAAACTATCAAATCCAGAAGATAAAGTGAAACTTTTATTTCATTACAAACTAAGAGGGGAACCCAATGCTGATTATACTATTTTCGCAATTGTTTTACATGAAAAGCTATGTCACATATGACCCCCTCCCTTGGCTACGCCGATTATTATTTAATATAATTTTATAAATAAATGACAACTTATATTAAATATAGGGTAAACCTAACAGACCGACAAAAGTCAAAACTAGCTTCTGCAATCAGAAATAAATCACCACTAACCCTTCGACTTCGCCATTCTCATCTTCGCGGATAAGATGAGTTAATGCTAACCCGCAGACAGATTGCTAAAATAAAAAAATCACTGGCAGCAGGTACAGGATCAGATATAAAAATAAGTAGAACACAGATTAGGCGATCAGTAAAACATGGTGGAAACTTGTTAGTAGTCTAGCATCTGTAGGTGATAAACTCCTTCCTTTTGCAATGCGAGGAGTTTTCCAAAGTTGCTCCTGCACTTGCTACTGGAGCCGCATCAGCACTCGGAGATATAGGAATAAAAAAACTATTTGGAAAAGGAACTGCAATTCCCAAAAAAATCATTCTAATGCTTCCACCTTTTGCAAAAGAGTTCACCAAAGCACAACGAGACCAAATTAACAAAGTTTATAAAACAGGTGGCCGACTGGTTATCAAACCAACTCGTAAACAGGTAGAAGGAGGATTCCTGGGAGCTCTTGCATCTATTGGAATTCCAATGGCAATTAGTTTAGTTTCAAAAATGTTTGGCTCTGGTCTACAGGTTGACCGAGGAGCGTCTAGAAATACGAAAAATGTTTATGTACCTCCAGTAACACAAGGTGAAGGCCAATATTTCTCAGGTTATCCTCCTCGCCCACCACCATTTTTTGGTACTTGGAAAGACATAGAAAATAGAGGGCCACTAGGAATGGGAGTTTAACAAAAAGCTGGCAGGCCGTCAGAAGGCAAGGGGAAGCCAGGGGCGGGCCTACTACTAGGATCAAAAAGCCCATTCAAAGGAATCCCCATATTAGGAGACATTTTGTAATTAAACCTCTATCTAACTTTGATCTCATGGATTGGGTAAAGAAACTTGGTATTAAACATTTCAGAGGGGTGTTTAGTCGCGATGGTCTACCGCGAAAGATAAAAAAAGAATGTGGGATAATTAATCTAGATGATCTTGCTGGCCCTGGCACACATTGGGTTTGTTACAGAAATCTGGATTCAGTAGTCGAGTATTTTGATCCATTTGGTTTGATAATTCCAAATGAAGCTGCTAAGTATTTTAACCCTTCTAGAAAAAAACCCTTCTAGAAAACGCACAGTGTACTCAATAGATGAAATACAAAATCGCGATACTGTTCTCTGCGGCTACTGGTGTTTATACTATCTACTAATTTATACTAATCTACAAATGGGGAATAGTATGTTAGATGTAATACACAATCCCTATTTTGATGATGACAACAGTGATTTTATAAAGGCATACTTCTCTTGAGGTGATAAGTTATTAAGACTAAATATAAAATTTATATTTAGTCTTTAACTATTTACTCTCCATCCACCGGCGCATCCTTTAGCTGTTTAACCCCTTCAACTTTTATATTCAAATCTTTAACACTATCAACTATATCATCAAATTTCGAGTAAATGACAATAAGTCTAAAAAGTTTTTTCTTTTTATCACACTTTATTTTCAACCAAGAATAGTTCTCATCTCTGATTTTTCCCCACATCTCGCATTCGCCAGCCATTAGCACTCTAGAAAGGTCATCATTTTTTGCTGGTGAAGTCTCAAACTCCTGGTTTATTTTTGTTCGGACTTCTTTCTCAAAATCTTTTAGTGTTTTGACATTTACACTTTTTTCTATTTCAGAAAAGAGTTTGGCCTCCATTTATTATTAGGCTAGACAAAATAACTTCCTTTTACTACCTGTCGAAGCGTATTTGATCTCTATATATTTTTATAAATCGTCTGTCATCTTCTAGTCTAGAATAATCAGCATATTCATAACTTATGTTTAGCAAATTATACATCTTTTGAAGTTCTACTTTTAAAAAATCAGATCTCCTTGTCATTTCAACTAACGCTATTTTATCTAAACATTATACTAAATGAAAGAATCATATTGCATTGTAGATAAAAGAGTAACTCCTTGCACAGAGCCAAGCGGTTACCAAAAAGATAAAAGAGGGCGTACTCAATTCTTTTGCAAATGCGCAGTTTGCGGAACTAAAAAAGTTAGATATGTAAAAATGGGGTCAGTTCCTCAAACTGGAAGTGGAAAAAAAATCAAAAAACGAAAATCAAAAAACTAATAAGCCCGTCCAAAGGGGCGGGCAAACAAACGGGAGGTGATGTCTTTGATACTGTAGTTGGCACAGCCGCAGAAGCTTTTGTTGAACATGCTTTGCCTTGGATGGGTCGCAAAGCAGTTGAAATGGGACGATATGGAGCAAGAGAATTAATGAGAAATAAAAAACTACAAAAGAAAGCTGTAAATTACGGAATTAATAAACTAACTCCTCTAATCCAAGATTCTGTTGGAACAGCAATGGACCACCTGTCAACCAAAGTAAGACCCAAAAAGAAATATAAAACTGATAGAAAGGATTTAGATGGGCGAGGTATTTATCCAATGACTGGTGTAAAAAAAGCGCCAGATATAGCAATGAAAACAACACAAGAACTAATTCCATCTTTGAAACCAGTTTACGATAGATATAAATCTGGGGATATTATGAAGTCCGCTTTTGGATCCGAACATGGAATTACATCTAGTAAGTTTTTGAGACGGCCAACAGCAGCGGAAGAGCAAGCAAAAGGAATAATACGCAAAGGTAGTAATCCTGAACTATTCTTTGCGTTTAACAAAGATGGAAAACACTTTAGGCAATATAGGTCAACATTTTTCAATAAAAAACCAGAAGCTTTAACAGATATGAATAACATTATTTCATCTAATCCAGATACATGGCCAGATATCATAACAAACAAATACGGAATTAACATTGATGAACACTTCTGGGAAATAATCCATTACTAATAGCCGGAAGTGGAGTCCGCGCTGGCAGCGGCGTTGATTTTCACAAATGGATTGGAAGACTCCCAAAACCAAAAGCAGGATGGACTCCAGGTAAGTATAAATAAATATATGGGTTCCTACAATCCTCTAGACAAACAATTAAGTTATGACCCAAACACTGGAGAAGTGACAGAGTGGAAAGTTAAACCATATAACCGCGTTGATGAAATAGCAGCTTATCATGATATCTGTTACGACATGGGAAGAAACAAGGGTGATTGCGACCGAGAGATGGTACAGTCATTGGATGAGATTCCCTATGCCGAAATACCAAAGTGGGGCTCAACTGCGAGATTCTTGATTAATACAAAGAAAAAACTTGGACTGGGTCTTCAAAAAAACGCGAGTCGGCGTTGAGTAATGATTGGGCTCAACAATTAACCGACGAACTTCACAAACCAATCACCAGAAACTTTTCTAAGAGATCAGTAATCTCAAATGGGATTGATGAAATATGGGCTGCCGATTTGGTAGAAATGCAAAAGTTTAGTAAATGGAATAAAAGAATTAAATATCTTCTGATGGTAATAGACGTATTTAGCAAGTATGGATGGATTAGGGGTCTAAAAGACAAGAAAACTGAAACTGTTAGTAAAGCTTTTGATGACATATTCAGGAGTAAACGTAAACCGCAAATGCTATGGACTGATAAAGGTTCTGAGTTTATCAGTAAACATTTCAAAGATTTTCTGAAAAGAGAAGGAATCACGCTGTATCACACTGAAAATGAAGAGAAATCTAGTGTTGTTGAGAGATGGAATAAAACAATGAAGATAAGAATGTGGAAGATGTTTACTGTGAATAACAACACTGTTTACTTTGATAAGATAGATAAACTAGTTAATGATTACAACAACTCGAGACATTCCAGTGTAAAAATGACTCCTGTTGAAGCGAATAAAAAGAAAAATGAGAGTAAAGTTTGGTCTAATTTATATGGCGATTTGATTTACACAAAACCTGATAAACCAAAGTTTGCGATTGGAGACCACGTTAGAATTTCAAAGTATAAGAGGCAAGTATTTGATAAGGGTTACACACCAAACTGGACTGAGGAGATATTTGTGATTGATAAAGTTCTTCCAACAAAGCCAGTTACGTATAGCATTGTTGATTTGATGGGAGAATCAATTAAGGGCTCTTTCTACGAACAAGAATTATAGAAAGCAAAACAGCAAACGTTTAGAATAGAAAAAGTTAACAGACGAGATAATAAGAAAAAAATAGCATTAGTAAAATGGAGTGGTTATCTTGATAAATTTGACTGAGTTTTAAGGATTTGGTTGATTTTTAATACAACATTTGTATTAAAATATAAATCCTAATAGTTTTACCTGTTCGCTCACTCATTCTTCCACTTCTTGATCAGAAATAATTAGATCTTCAATATTATCATTTTCGTCTGGCTCATCTTTTACAGTTTCACTCTCGCTGTCACCGTCACTTTCATTAATTGTTAGTAAAGATTCACGTGGTTTCAGTGCTTTGACATAGCACTCATGCACTTTTATTTGGATAGATACAACAGTTTTACTGATAAATATTCCTTCTATTATCAGCGCCATTTTCACATGACAATACTGATCAATATATTTAAAAGGATTTAAATCCTTCTTTCCCTTTGTCTTAAACAGAGAAAGAATTTTCGTGGATTTTTCTGAGAAAACAAGTTTTGCGTAGAGAACTGGTGCGGCTGAGGGATCTATCTTTGTTGTCTTCTTTCCTTTCTTATCAGTACATTCAACGTGTTTGTAATAATATATAGATTTAGCCAGGGCTAAAAGCGAGGCTCCAATTAATAAATTTATAATTTAAATCAAACAATAAACTTGTATTTCACATTTAGAGCACATTCATGTGACTTTTCAGGGAAAGGCTAAGTGATTTTAGACAAAAATAATTTGGAAACAACCCCAGAGTGAAACAAATCTTACATCGAGTTGATGGCCTCATATGTACACCCAAAAACTGGCAATCGTCTTCGATCACATTTTTTAAGAGCCATAATGGCTCTTGATCACCGTAGGTTAATTAGGCCTGGAAAAAAGTTCCTGCCGAATTTTTTGCGTTCGACAAGTTTACTTTACAATATATTGCCAACAAATCTGGGTTCGTGTAAACCAACCTTATATATCATTTATACATCACATCTGAGGTGAAACAGTACTACAAGGCACTGTTTTTATCATACAGACCTCGGACAACAGAATGCAGTATTTGACAGTTTTGCAATGCAAATTGCTATCATTCAATATTCAGGACGATCAAAGCACGCGTGGGCTTTAGCTAAACCGTTAAAAAAAATTCCAAAATCACCTATACGGCCAGTCGGTTCTGACTTTTGCAGTGCTAGCTGTGGCGAGTGTTTGAATGAACATTAACACAGTTAAGCTCCAATATAATAAAGAATTTATTATGTTTATTTTTTATTTTAAAATGGTTTAACGCGCGGCATTTTGAGTACTCTGGGAAGCGTTGCTCACTGAACGACTGAAAACAATCGGCACAGCAATTAAAATTACAAGATAGACTACTAATAATCAATAAAAGAAATAAAATTCGGTGAAACATATACAGAGACGAGAATTTTCATTCAGGAAGACAAGTATTAAGGTGTCTCTAAAAATCTGAGTCTTCGAGCTTAATTAAAGCTGAAGTTTTTGTTTTAAGCCGGCTTCCCTTTGTTTGCTTTTTTCAAACACGAAGTCGAGGCAAGAAAATCGCTCAAAGCTTGTTTTACAGCCAGAATTATCACTAAAAATTCTTTGGAACGTGTTCTTTCTATTTCCGGTGCGAAAATGTCTCAAGGCTTTTTAAAGAATTGTAAGCTTATATAAACCTGATACTCGGTCAGATCATTGTCTCAAATCTTACAAACGTGCGTAAACAAAATAGCCGCATAAACTACGCTCGACTTCATTAAATTAGAAATGAAAAACAAACATCAAATACAATAATTACTCAGGCTTACCACTCGAGATGCAGCTCCTGAAAGGTATCAAGTAAGGCCAGTATCGCTTCAGACTTTGCAACCCTCTTACGCATTAAGCAAGGTGAAAACGAAAACGATGCCATCCGAAATCGGATTTCCAACTTTGACAAGTGACGTATTTTTCAACCAAAAACCCAATGAACGTGACCAACGCGTGAACATGGTGAGAAAAGTCAAAAGCAACTGTCTTCCCTGCCTGTAGCAGCTGACTGAATTCTCGGGTCCGAGGTCAGTTTGAAATCAAAATTTTAATTGTGCGGCACATAAACACAACATATTTCATATGAATTTTTAAAAAAAAAAATTAAACTTGAGCCTGCGATCATTTGAAAACCAGTACCTTGTTGGCGGATAACTTGAAAAAATACTTGACCTCGATGGGCCGACACCTGAGCCCGCGATTCGCTCGAGTGATACTGGTCAGCGGATACCTTGTTTTGACAGCTGTCAATAGACCTTTTGCATGCCGCGCGGGGACTGGTCACTGGAGGTATATGTCCGCCATCTTGGATTAAAGTGCGTGCAGCATTGTAAACAGTTGTTGTGTTCCGCTCTTCCATACTAAGTCAACGAGGGAAAAAGAACTGTCATTTCATCGTTTTCCAAAATGTGAGTTGATGAAGAAGGCATGGCTGGTAAAAATACGTCGTGATGAAGGAGAATCATTTACTGTATCGGAGCACACTCGAGTGCGTTCTCTTCATTTTACTGCGAGCGATTATCGAACAACACTTGGTGGCAAAACAGTTCTCAAGGACGATGCAGTTCCGTCAGTATTTTCCTGGGCAACACCAGTCAAACAGCGGTTGTCAAGGACAAGTTCATTTGGGCTTGGAAATGTGGGAGCGAAAGAACCATGCGAGAACTGTCAGGAGAAGGACCGTGATATCTCGCGGCTTGAGACAACGCTTCAAGAAAAGGATAATGAAATACAGGTTTTGATGTCTAATTTTCTAACGATAAAAAGAAGTTCTGAGAGTATGTTGTTTTCATTTAAACGATTTGATGGTAGTGATGACGATATCCACTTTTATACTGGCTTCCAAAATTCAGCCAGCTACAGAGAATTTATGACTTATGTTTTATGTCATGCTGAAGACATGAGTTACTGGAGCCCAAATGTTCATGGGACCTTGTCTAATAGTGTTGAGAATACACAAATGTCTAGTAAGAGTACAGGTTATACTGAGAGAGCTTTATCAAAGATGGATGAACTTTTTCTGACCCTTGTGAAACTACGTTTGGGTCTTCCTTTGCACCACGTTGCTAACTTATTCAACATTTCTAGTTCCACAGTTTCAAGGGTATTTACATCATGGATCAATTTGCTTTATTTTGTGTTGGGATCTATCAATTTCTGGTTGCCCAAACATGTCATTCAAGAAACAATGCCCGATAGCTTTAGGAAATTTCCTTCAACAAGGGTGATCCTTGATGCCACTGAATTCAAGATCCAGACACCTTCCTCTTTGTTGAGGCAATCTCAAGTTTTCTCACAGTATAAAAGTACCACTACAGCTAAAGCACTGTTGGGTATCGCACCTTCAGGTAGTGTTACATTTGTATCTCAGTTGTATACTGGAGGCATATCAGACAAGGAAATCACTAAACAGTCTGGAATTCTCTCATTGCTTGAAAGAGGAGACAATGTAATGGCTGATAGAGGTTTTGTTATAAATGACCTCCTTGAGCCTCTTGGGTGTACTTTGAATATACTTCCTTTCCTTAATAACCAGGGTCAGTTTACAGAAGATGAAGTAAAAGAGACTCAGGAAATCGCAAATGTGAGAATACATGTTGAGAGGGCAATAAGCAGAATCAAGACATTCAAAATCCTGCAAAATGTATTTGCTATTAATCAGACTGGTTTGCTTAATCAAATCTGGACAGTCTGTGCACTTTTGGTCAATTTTCAGACACCAATCATTGCACAAGACTCCTAAGAGAAACTTTGCTGACATCATCATTC